AATCTTGCAGAAATATGATGGTTTTGTGCACATTGCCTGTTTAGGAGTCCTGTTGGGTTGTTAGAAAACAGATGATTTAAATCTGATAGTAAGATACAGAGATCTTAAAGCTATGGATTCTCTATAAATTTAAAAAAAATGTCCAGATGGAAGAGACGTACCTTTATGAAATCTCCCCATGAGAAAAGAGCTTCTTAAGCACAGCAGATACTGAGCTTCAGAATGTAGCTAGAAAAGTGATACTGAAAAACAGGCTTCAAGTTCTGAGTCCCCAGCATGAGTAGCCTGTGTTTATAAGTTGGTGGGGTTTTTTGAGCTTTTGGGTTTTTTCCGTAGCGCTTAACTAGCGTGCAGTTCTATACTGAAGAATTCTGAAGTCCTACTATGTGAATTTCAGTGGATTTTTTTTAATGAGAATATAGAGCACCAAACCAAGTAATATTGTATTTCAAATAGAATGAACATGAATATTTATCGTTTCCCATTTGTACTCTCTGCAGGCCAGCTGACTAGCCTCCAAGAGCTGCTGCTCAGTTACAACAGAATAAATTCTGTTCCTGAAGAAATAAGTAACTGCGTCAGACTGGAGAGACTGGAACTGGCTGTCAACAGGAGTATCTGTGATCTTCCTCCTCAGGTTCTGACAGACTGTTTTGTTTAGTTTTGTTTAATGATCTTTTGAATTTATCCAAACCCAGTTATCATTGAATGTTGCACTCCATGTTTTCAGGTTTGCTTTGATATTCTGATTCCACTAGTCCATAAAACCAGATATGTGAACAGTATTTATATGACTAGTGCATACAGGACAGCGATACACTTGATGTTATATCGTCTAGGCTGACGTTTTTCACTGATTTATCCCACTGGGTATGTCACACCTTAGCACAGAGAAGTTCCCTTTTTTGCCAAGAACACAAGTTCATGCCATGTGCCAGGACACAACTGTGAGCTTCTTTACCGGAGCTGCTACCTATGAAAAAGATTTGTGTGATTTATACAGCTGCCTATGCACAAAGGTTGGAAGGAATGTTGTTCTGAGATGTTTAAAGCAATTAAGAGAGAATAAAACAACTGATCACCTACTATTAAGCTTTAATTTGGACCAATGTGGTCCAATGTGGATACAGGCCACATGGTGCAGCATGGAGAGAGCAAGCTTTTAAATTCACAGCTCACAGCAAATTCGTGGCTCTGTCCTGTTGAGACTACGGTGATGTGAACACTGCGACGCTTTGGTGCTACGTGCTTGAGTGGCGTTCAGCGTTTAGACAGCTGGACCAGATTTGCAATGAAACACCTTTGCATCACTTGAACATTGTAAAAGTACCTGGAGGCAGGATTCGCCAAAGGATTTAGATGTTGCAGTAGTGAATAATGCTATGCTTAATTTTTAGAATATCTCCCCATAGTAGTACACTTAACGAGATGGAAGCTGTCTAGGTTCGCTCTAAAATACGGTACGTGCAGTTTGAGCCAAAAGAATCTGAATACCTGACTAATGAAAATGGCATATGGCATGGAGTATGAAATACTAGGACAGTGGTGTCTTTAAAGTTCCTTTTCTCCTCAAGGCTCGGGGTATATGTGTGTGGCAGGCACGGCATTCAGCTTCGCGGCAGTTAGGGCACGTGCTACCAGGTGGGAAATCAAGTTCTTCTGCCTGCTCAGTTTCAAACCTCCCTCCCTTCCAGGTGAGACCCATACCTGTTAGGTAATAGAGCTAATGTAACTCAGAACCCATTCTGTGTTTACTGACTCCAGAAGGTGTTTTAATGTTTTTAAATTGTTTCTTTGCTTCAGTCAATGTTATTACAGCACTGCTGTAATGCAACAGTTATACAGACCTGCATTAAATCTCTTTTCAGCTCAGTGATTTAAAGAAGCTTTCCCACATAGATTTATGCATGAATCAGTTTACTACCATCCCCTCGGCTCTTCTCAACATGCCAAATCTAGAATGGTTAGATATGGGGGGGAATAAACTCCAGGAGCTTCCTGATGCAATTGACAGGTAAATAAAACTTAAAGCTCACATCTTAGTCTCAATTCCACTACACTGAAATTCTAATTATTAAATCCTACTTCAAAAGATTACTTTAATGTTAACCTCACTGCAAACTTAAGATTTATTAGCCCTAATGTGATATTTTGGATGAGCTGGAATAATCCATTCAATAAACAATAAACTTAGTATCACCTATCAAGTTAAATATTTCTTGCCAATGACATATTCAACCAGTTAGGTGATTATCTTGGATATTTGATTTCCCTTGAGAATTTTTGTATTCTTTATGAGAGTCTTCTATGTGGCTGTAAAAATGAATCAATTACTTTATATTAATGACTGATAATATTGATTTTCTAAATTTGATTGATTGTGCAAATCCCTATTTTACAGAATGGAAAATCTCCACACTTTATGGCTCCAAAGAAATGAGATAAACTCTTTGCCAGAAACCATTAGTAATATGAAAAATCTTAGTACTCTTGTTCTTAGTAACAACAAACTTAAGGATATTCCAGCTTGTATGAAGGACATGACAAATCTAAGGTAAGAAAAAAACAACAGAAATAAAAATACTAGAAGAGAAGTCTTAAAGCCTCCTTTGAGTTGTATAACGTAGAGTGATACTAAGGAAGTGGAAAAGAAATGGCACGTCTGTGGCTGCACAGCTGGACACACCACCATATAAATCAGCATAATTACACAGATCCAAGCAGTTGAGGATCTGGTCAAGAAAGGTTCGTGTAGCACAACTCATTTAAAAAAAGCAAGCTATGGTAGTTACAGTCCCAGAAAGGAGACTGTAATAGATTTGGTCATTTCTGAAAGGTCCAAATGCTCACTAATTACCCTTTTGTATCACTCTCTAAAGCCAAGAGCTAGGAGGAAAAGTAAGTGGCAAGCATGAAAATGACAAAAAGTACAACTCTGGCACTGAGAAGTCAAGCATTCAGAATTAAACAAAAAGGATTAGGTATGAGGGTATAGATGAAACTCTCCTGTACTAGATTTGAAAAATAACAGAAGAACGTGTGTATACTTTTAATTGGTAGACTCGGGAATACTGATCTGTATACTGTGCCAGAAACTTGCCTGTTGTTTGCATTTTCATGTGGATTACTGGATGCTGGCCATTCTGGAGAAAGAATCCTTGTCTATATATATCACGTCGAACTCAGTAAGGCAATTTGTGTTTTCACATGTTTTGGAAGAAGCAGCACCTCTCTAAGCAAATACGTATAAGCACAGGCTCAGGGATGGATGAAGAGAAGAGGGAGACAGGGCTGGCTATGGCCTTGCCAGCATTTGTACTCTTGTTCTCATCCCCTCACCTCTGCGGAAGGTCCACAGGCGTGACAGTGGATCAAAAACCTTACGACAAAACGACAAGGACTGCCATGTTTTCTCCCACCACAGCCGGCTACTGTTACTATGAGGCATCTTCTTAGCTTAGTTTACTTACTACTACTGACAGAGCAGTGAGTTTAGCATAAGAAAAGACTTATTTTGCTCAAAATACTGTTTGAGGAACCTTAATTGAGTTTCAAAAGAGCTGTTCTCTCTGGACAAAACCTATTGCAAGTGTAACCTGTTCTGGTGAACTGTCAGATTTGTCAACTTCAGAGACAACCCCCTGGAGTTGGAAGTAACCCTCCCTCCCTGTGAGAATGCAGAAGAGGAGGAGCAACAGGAAATGTTTGGCATTGACTTCATGCACTTGTACATCCAGGAGTCACTCAAGAAAAAAGGTATGGCTTTTTTATTAATTCTGATCTTTGGAATACAGTGGGAAAGGAAAGGATAAACTGGATAAAAGAAAGCTAGACTACATACACAAATGAAACATGAATAATCTTCTTCATAAATGAGTAACATGTTCTAAAAATCTGTGAACTGATTTTTACGGAGGGCAGACAGTGCTTTTAGCAGGAGTTGGCACAGGACTTCATAGGACCAGCATGTATTCTTATGGAAATACACTGGAACCATGGAACATTGGAATAAATGCCCCCGAGGTACCTACAGCCCAGGTAACTGGAGGCTGATGACTGTCCCTTGTATTTGCGATTTAACGGAAGCTGACATGGGGTGGGATTTCTGGCACTGTTTGTCTCATGAAACTCAACTTTCCCTGTTTTTGAATGTTGCCCAGGTGGGGATGTGAGGACTGCTGAAGAGTGATGTGAAGCAGAGATGCCTATGTTCCCAAGGTACAACATTTTTTAGCAATCAACACCTTTTAAATAGAAAATCAATAGAAAATCGAGCCACCTAAACAAAACACCTGCAGAATTTCATCCCATTTCTAAATCACTATGACAAAAAAAATGCTGTTAGTAGGCTCAAAAGTACAGCTTAAAGCTTGCAGTAAGTAACCACTTTTGAACAGATGTGCAGGTATAAAATGTCCTAATTTTCATTCTATATATTAATAATTGAAATGCTCTTGATTTAGAATGCTAAGCAAGCTTTTTTCCTATCACTATTCCATGAATGAATATCAAATTAGCAAATATATATCAAGATAAGAGTTTACAAGTAAGTTTTCTTCCTTAACAGATTCCCCTAGCAGCAGGAAATCACACAGGCCTGCTCACATAATTTAAGAAGAAATACAAAGCTATCCTGAACTTCCAAGTGAAATATGTTAATTTTTCTTATTTTAATCCATTTTCTTTCAGGAAATCTGGCAAGTTGTACTTCTGGTCCTTCTACCATAAATGCCAATGAATAAGGAATGTAACTGGGAATGGAAGAAAATATCAAGTGTACTTTTTTCTAGCAAAGAGGAGGACAACAGGTTTCAAAAATTCCTAGGAATTTTATTTTTCCACTGATGAGGACTGGTTTGCATATTTGTAATTCTCTTTGAAACTGGGAAATATAAGACCATTTCCTGGGTCGAGGAAAGATTAAAGCTTTTTTCTTGTAAGCAACAAGTTAGCTTTTTAGAGAAATCCAGCTAAGTTTTATAGTTTGGGGTTTTTTTTTCCCTACCAATTCCAACTCTATCTCCTGTCATGTAGCTGGCTCTGGTATCAGAGATGGCCTCGGGACAGCTGTCAGCAGGACGTTCTCCAAGGACACAGCAGACTCTGTATAATACTGTAGCGCAGCCTTGTATCCTCGTTGTTGTAAATACTCAATCCGTCCATGATCAATCAGTAGTTTACAGAGGCAACCTATCTCCTTTCGTTCTTCAACAGTAAGTATCCTAATTTCATAAAAAGGAGGAAAAAATAACATGTCAAAAATAGTTTTGTTAATTAACATTAGTAGTGAATCTTAGAAAAACTGTTGAAATCACAGGAAGTTCAATTCAGGCAAGTGTGATGGTTTAGTATTTTGAAATATATGCCCATGAAAATTGTATTTTTAGAGTATTTCTATAAATTTAGAAATTAAAGTGTTTCTGTAAAATGAGTCATTCTGAGGATCCAAAACAACTTCACACACTGCTATATGTAGTTTTCCTTTTCTGCAGGAGTCCACTTGGCAGGAAAATATTACATACCCTTGTAAAGTATCAGACCCACTCTCTGTCTTGCTGAGTGCTTGCTCGTGTTCCTCTGTGTCGTTACTTTGATCTTCCCTTTCTTTGCTCGTAGAGGCTTTGGTTGGGGTTTCTCGCATGCCACAAGTGGCCCAGCTACTCATTCTTTGAAAATAATGAAATTCTATTGGTCCAAGTCCTACTGATTTAAAGAACTCTCTGCCTACATAATGTGTCCAGTCACACTTATGATGGCAACACAGTGCAATAACAATTCCAGCTACAGGCTCACAGTCTTCTCTGTTGCTTTCACTATCAGCAGAACTGTTAGAAGCTACCTTTGTCTTATCAGTCCTAGAGCGTTTGGGTGCAGGCTCTTCATTTCTGCCATCACAGCAAGCTGTATAACTTTCAGCCAGGCATCTCAAAGCAAGATCTGTTGGGGGGAAAACAACAACAAACGATAAAATATATAAAAATGTAAGAACATCCACCACCCAACCAGTGACGAACACCATGCCATTATTTATACAGGGAGTATCATGGTTGGGAATGTATTTCCCAAAGAAGAATAAAAGTATACATCACAAGCTAAGCCAAAAAGCAATTTTAAGGATAACTAAAAATTACAAGCCTCCCTTGAAACACAAACGCCCTAAATGCTAAATTAATAGTATGAGACCTCTGGAGCTACTAAGGGCTTATCCTCTTGCATATTTGTTCTATACAAGTGAATCTGAAAAACTTTGAAAAACTGTAGGAGGATCTCCCCGCTGTAAAACATGCAACTATTTCCTCCAAAATTTTGATATCTAGGACACAACCTATTTAATAAGTATATGTACTACTGAAATCATAGAATCTTAGATCATGCTTAACTGTGTCATCTTTTTAATGGTACCTATACAGGTGTCATATTTGACATGTCCTCTACTCAGTGGACATACATGTTAAAAGAAGTGTATAGTTTAAAATTATCAGGACAGAAACATATTCTTCTCATTTGTTTGCCTGGGATACTATTCAGACAGCCAATACAACTTTAGAAAGAAAAACTGTTTCAGAGGAGAGGTGATGGTGTTAAAAAAATGCTACCTTCAGCAGTTTACAAAGACATGACCCATGCCACCACACCCTGTTCTACTCTATAAAAACAAGAGAGGCTTTACTTCTGTCTGAAGTATCCCTGCATTTATTATCCATTTAGTGCTCTACTGAAGTGAACAGAGTGTTTAGAATAAAATTGTTACATTCGCCAACAAAGAGTCAGAGGGCAAGAAAAGCTTAAAAAGGACAGTTTGAAAGATTACTCCATTCAGATGATAAGATTTAGTATCCTAACCTTCTGTAGCTAACACATACATAAGTCGTACCTGTTGCAGCACCACACAAATGCTTCCCAATTCCTACCACTGGTAGTTTTTTCTTCTCCAAAATAGGTACTTTCTCTGGGGTAGCAAAAAAAATTAAAATTAATACACACACACACAAAATCCACAACAACCCTAGAATCTCTATTACTACAGCTCAAGCAATATTTTTTCTAGATACTGTAATTTCAGTGCACTTTAAAAAACCCAAAAAGTTTACCACTACTGAAAATACAGTGGTCTGTGCGTACAGTTATAAGCCATTAGAAGAAAAGTTTCTTTCTCTAAAACAAATGGAAAGAATTGGATCCTGTGGCTGAGAAGCATATTTAACCGTTCTGGCCTTTCTGTGTGGCCTGTGAAATGTAACTGTGGCATTAATGCAGCTCCTGACGACAGGTGTTCCCACAAATTCTGTAGTGTTGATGTGCACGGCCTACCACTGACACGCATGGCTTGATGCATTCTGCACACCTAAACCAAACAATGCAAAAGTGATTCATCCTGCAAGTCCTAAAAAACCTTCAAAATATATTTTTCATATTTCTCACCTATAATGACATCCTAAAACTGTACAAAAAGCAGAAAAATTTAAATCTTCATTTAATATATATATATGTGCGTGCATATGTATATACACACAGCATTAACACGACCAAGCAACCACTGAGAATAATCTTCAAAACAAGTACATTTAAACATGCTACAAACTGGCTTGAACTCCATCATTCAAAATCTAAAACTAAACCTCTATTTCAGAATTAACGCAAGGCAAGAAGGAACTTACTTAAACATAGATGTTGAATGTCAATTTGAAGCCTCTCAAATATAGAATCTCTCCCTTTATGTTTTCCATCCACCTGTATAAAACAAACCAAGATCATTAAGCAGGGCTAGCCACTCATAATTATAATTTTGCTCTAGGTATTAATGCAGGACCTTTCTCCTGTAAAGTTGACATCTGCACTTTTCCAGCATTATACACCAGGATTTCCTTTTAAGAATTTGCTATTGGCAAAGTAAAAAATGTAGGCAATCGTTCTTCCAAAACTTATAATTGAAAGGCTTTATATTATTTTTTAAGATAAAAGGCAAAGACTAATAGCTTCAATGACAACAGTTTAAAAATCATTCTCCACTACTGTGACAATATCCTCTCTTACCTTGAACCTTGTCGTTGCCCTTTCCACAAGCAAAAACTGAACATTTTCAACATTCTGTAAGGCAACATCAACCCAGTGAGACAGCTTTCCTCGCCCAGCTCCGAACTCAACAAAACATCTTCCTGGACCAAGTAAATGTAATTTTTCCATGTTGCCTAAAATTGAAGCCTACAAACAACAAATGAGTAATGAGCCAAGAAAATGCATACACTGTGTATTGTAATGGCTGATAGAGAAACAATTATTTCACTGAACTGCGGGCTTCTGCAAGTCTTCTCTTCCACAGGGGATTAGCGAAAAAATTGTGTATGTACAGAGGAAAGGGATTATGAATTCTGGCTAGTCAGCATGACCCTGCCCTCCTTCCTCTGCTCACAGAACCCCCCCACAAGCTTCTTTTTCAACATTATTTCTTTTCTTTTCAACATTATTCTCACACTAAATCCACAACACAGCACTGTATCAGCTACTGGGAAGAAAATTAACTATTCCAGACAAAATCAGGACAGGCTATGAGTAAAACAGTGACCATACCTGTTGTTTCAAGTGTTTGAAAGCAGATTCCCCGTTCTTTGGGTCATTTAAGGCTTCTTCTAAAGCCTGGTGGGACAGTATTTGTTCTTTAAGGCGAAGTTCCAGGCCTGCAGGCAAAGGCAAAACTTTTAGATAGAGCATTCCAGTTTGCAAGAGTTTCTGGGTTTGTAACACATGATATTCAGACACGAGCTCAATCTGTAGCACTAACACAGTAGCCAGTTGGGAGCATAAATCTATAATGATATAACAGAGCTGTCTTGTTATCTGTAGTGATATATGGGAAACAAAAACACATATGGGAGGAAATTAGCTATATCAACAGGAGATCGATATTTTATCACTGTCTCAATCTAGTTTATTCTTCTGAGTAAAATTTAGCTATTGCGTGATTGCTGACATCTCAATGATAACTACTTCAGATGTGTTTAGTGCCAAACATCTCATATTTTCACAGATACCTAACAACAAAAATAACAATGAAATATTTCAATTCAATTTAAAACATCTTATTTTCAATAGTAAGGAAGCTTACCATTACTTGCGTTTTTCAACTTGATAATTAAGTTCTCCAGCTCTTCCTTCGACAGAGAAGAGATAGGTACCTTTTTAAGAAAAAAAAACAACCAAAACCGAAAAAGCCACCCATAAATACAAGACTTCATTTTTGCTAGTTCTTTAGTTGCATGATAAATTGCAACATCTCAAGTGTGGACTGAGCTTTAGGATGAATAAATGCACTCACTTGTTCGCCTGGTATTTCTGCCACATCTTTTAAACCTGCATTAATATCTTGAACAAAGTAGACCTTTAAAAAAAAAATAAATCTGATTCTGTTAATTACCAGGAAACAAAACACCAAATTCTTCAGTGTTTTTATTATAAAGTGCATAGCGGCAGGAATCTACTGCAAAAGAAGATATTCCAAGTATTTTTCCCTATAGCCTGATCCTGAATCCCCAGTAGAACTGACTGTTTTAACACATGTTGAGAAGGATGAACATGTTCAAAGGAGCTGCGCTCTCAGCGCTCACTAGACTGACTTCAGAGACCCTCAAGGTTTCCCAGGTCGCGCTAGAGGTGCACTATTGGTACGGCAGAAAGGCAGACAAGAAAGCAGACATCTTGTTTTCCTGAGACAGCTGTGGAGACCTCCATCCTATTCCTTCCCTCGGCCCCGGCTGCAGCTCTCGGCCGGCTTTCCCACCGCGCTGCTGC